CACGAGAAGGCCACTACAGTAGTCCAAGTCCACGCTAGAAAAACGACCCTCAGAAATCGTCAGCTGTAGACGGTATTTTTGTATAAATAGCACAATTCTGTATTTTGTTCTGCCTTCTTAATCCACCTACCTGCCTGCCTGCCTGCCTGCCTTCTGGTATTTATCACAAGCAAATAAACAGACCAAACGTGGCCTGTGCCGTGGAGGCCGACCGAGGAGAAGCAGCGGCCTGGCCCTGCCCGCCGCCTGCCGCCCGCCACCCGCCACCGTCCGCCCCTCGGGCCGCGCCCCGCAGCAAAGGCACGTCACCTTGTGGTCTCCCATGCAGACGTTGGGCCCGATGTGGTCGTAGGTGACAACCTTCTCCTCGCTCTCCGACTGGGGAAGCAAACAGAGAGAACCGTGTGGGAGGCAGGAACGGTGGGGCCTCCTTGGGGAGTGCCAGCTACCGCCCCCCCCCCCCCCCCCCCCCCCCCCAGCTCCCTGCACGCAGGTCTCTGGCCGGCCCCTCAGAGGGAGAAGCCGGCCAGCACGCAGAACGTTCTGGAAGCCCTGGGAGCCCCCGACCCTCCCTGCTCCTGGACGGGAGTCGGGCTGGGGGCCGCGGCACGTGCCCCTGCCAGAGCCCTTGCTCAACGGCAGTTAGTGCCGCCGTGAGCTTTTCTCCCGGGCTGCCCCCCGGCACTGGAGCAGCTTATCGGGCTCCGGATGCCCCGTGTACATCTGTTCTGACAGCCTGTTGTATTAACCCGGAACTCGATTCACAGGACGCAGCCGCCACTGACCCCCCGCTGCTGCACGGGGCACTCTGCACACGTTAATTAAGCGCTGCGCGCGCTCCGGCTCCCCTCCCTCCTCGCCGGCTCTGCCAGCCCGCGGCCGCAGGTATTTTGGGTGCGACCCTGAGGGTTGGCTGCCGGCCATCAGTCGGCTCCGACTGGGCCGGAATTTTACACCCGCAGCCGGAGCGTGTGAGACTATAAAGTTAAAACTGAATTATCTTTAATGCAGTAGGAGGCTTCAGGTCAGATGTACTTTCCAGCGTGGTCGCCTGCCAGAAAGGATGAACACCTAACCGGCACCGCGCGCGTGAGCACGCCCCATCCTTCACGGGGGCGGCGCGGCCTCGCGGAAGGAGGGGACATTCATCAAACGCGGCCCGGTAATTTACAACGGCAGCATAAAATTGTGGACTTCCAACCGCATAATCTCGAGACAGATAAACAAATTACAGCAACGCGATCATCCCCGCGGATCCCAGCCCGCGCCGCCAGCCCGCCACCTTTCGTGTTTTAGGGCCGGGGAAGCAGAACGGGACATGATGACGAGGTGGCGGAGCGTGGCATGATGGATGAGGCCGAGGGGCTGCTCGCGGTGCGCGTCTGCTCCCGCTGTAAGGCCCGCTGCCGCCGGGCAGCCCCCCGGGAGGGCCGGGGGGACGTCTGTTGGGGGGGGG